ACGCCTGCCGCCGGGTGGGTGAGGGCTGCCGCGAACCTCACTGACCCCAAGCTGGTCTGTCCCACCACGAGGAATGCCCGGGCCCCCCGGGGCCTCCGGACACAGGCCCCGGGACTCCTGTCTGACGACAGGCAAGTAAGTCCCCCACGGCGGCCCACTGGTTTCCTGGCCCCCAGCGCTCCTGGACCTGGAGTCACGGAGAGCTGGCACCCCCCCACACACACGGCCACTGCCTCTGGCGCCCAGGGCTTGCTTCTAGGACGGCTCTTCGTTGGGTCATGAGCCCCCCAAGGAGGGCGGGGGCCTGAGCATGGCGGGTGCTAAGAGCACCCGGGACCACCAGGTCCTGGACGGGGAGGGCGCCGTGCAGGCCTTCTGGCTCCAGACCCCTGTCCCCAAAACCCTGCGTGGCTGGGAGCTGGCCGTTGGCCTCGCAGGGCCAGGGGGCGTTCTGGCTCAGGGGCTGCGAGACGGGGTGTGGCCTTGTCCCCCAGAGCTAGGTGTCCCTCAGCAGCGGCACTCGCTGGGCCTCTTTCTGCAGGTCATTTGTGGAGTCCGGCGCCGCTGGGGCCTCCAGGACTGCCAGTGAGCGTCCCGGCTCCGAGGCTGGTGGGAGCAGCTTCCAGGCCCTCTGTACCTGACGCGCGCGCGGGGCTGCATGAGAATCCCCGGGCCCCGCCTCGCAGCCTCTTGCGGGCAGCCTGGCCGCGGACAGCAGGCGACCCTGGGTGCACCTGTCTGCTGTGCTTCTCCTCTCTTAGACGGGCAGAGGTGGGCCCGGCCGCACCCTCGGGGCCCGTGCTCTCCTTGAGCCCCTGCTCCGTTCCCCCTCCCCCGACGTCCATGCCGGGCACAGAGGTGAGTGGGCGGGGACGCCCAGAGGCCTCGCAGGTGCATTTGGGACGGCGCTGGGGTCTTTGTTCCTCCAGGGTACCAGGGGCCTCCTGGACCAAAGGGTGACAAGGAGAATGTGGGCCCCCCGGACCCCAGGTGAGCACTCTGGTGTCCAGGTGAGGCGCCATGCTTATGCGCCGGCCCCGAGGTGCGTGGAGCCCTCCCAGGGCCAGGGCCCATGACGGCTGCCGAGGCCGTCCCTGCTGCGTTCCGCCCCGGTGGGGCAGTCGGGCTGGGGTCTGGACAGCACCTGCGGCCCAGCGGCAGCTGGGGACTCCAGAGCCCCCGGGCGTGGGAGCTGCACCCAGGCCCACCGGCTCCAGCCGGGGCTGCTCCCGCACGGAAAGGGACCCGGCGGAGGCCATCACCAGGCGGACCATCCCACGTGACCGAGGTGACCGGGAGGGCAGGGCAGCAGCCGGCAATGCGCCGGGCCGTGCGGAGGAGCGGTGGAGGCGGGCCCGGGCGTTGACTGACGGCCGCGCCAGAACACTAAGGAGAGGAGGGAGGTGTCAGTGGGCAGCGAAAGAGGCGGAGCTTAGTTCTGGACGGAAAGACCACAGCTTGGCGTGAGGACCCGCCCACGCCACACGGGAGGAGGCGCAGCGCCTGGTGTCCGGGTGCAGAGGCGGAGAGAGAGCGCGGACCGTGCAGAGGGAGCACGCGGCCCCACGCGCCACCGGGCGCGCCAGCTCAGGCCAAGGCACCAGATGCAGGGCAAGAAAACAACAATTCCAAGAAAGGGGGCCACCTTCAAAGGATGGCAGGGCCTGACGCCGCGGGGAGCCTTCCCGTCTGCGCGCCACCCCGACCAAGCCTGGGGCTCTGACCTCCCACGCGTGGCTCCCAGCGTGGACCCGTGACTCTGAGGCCCCCGGTGCCTTTGCTTGTGACCCTCCACATGCCCCCCACCAGTGCCCCGAGGGCCGCCTGCCTTAGTGAGGGTCCCTGGCCTCGGCTCGCCCGGCTGGTGGCACCCCGAGAGCCCCCTCCCCAGCCCTGCGTCACACCTGGCATTGGTGCCTGCTGGGGACACAGCCCCGGGGCCCCGGCTGCCACGCTGGCCTGGAAGAGGCTGGCTGGGTCCCGGTGTCCACCGGGGCGTCCGCCTTCACCCCCGGGAAGGCACGAGGCAAGTCCCGTGTCCCCGGGGGCTGGGGCTGGCGAGGTGGCCTGGATGCCAGCCGAGGGGACACGGGCCCCACAGCACGTTCGGGACCCTTCAGGGCAGGGCTGGGAGCCTCCATTCCCCGGGCCGTAGCTAAATGGGGACGTTTCTAGTTCTAGGTGCTGCGGTGTTGAGCCAGGTTCTGATTTTTTTTTCTTTTTAACGTGAAACAAGGAACTGTATTTGGCTTCTCTGTTTCCACGGGAGAAGCCGCTCTCAGGTTGCAGACAGACACGTCCCGCCCGTGGCCCTGGTCCTTGGAGCCGGCACCTCCTCCCACCTGCGGCTCCAGCCCAGGGCCCTCCGTGCTGACCTGGGTCACCCCTGGCCTGCGTGTCCACGGAGAGCCGGTCACACCCTCACGCCAGCCAGGAGGACTGGTGCCTGTGTCCGTGGACACGCCCGTGCCTTGCTGTGCTCAGGGCCAGGTGCCTTCCTGGGCCAGCACTGGGGAGATGTCCCGGCGGCCTCAGGGCCCAGGGGCCATTCAGGTGTCACTCGGAGATGCAAGACAGTCTGTCATATGAACACTCGTCCCAAAATGCATTAAACCACCCCTGAGACCTCAGTGTGAGACGGCTCCTGCTTCTGGGCCGGCCTGGCCTGCTGGGCGGGGGGCGGTGGTCAGGGAGGAGGCCAGGAGTGGCCCAGCCGTCTCCCCCACCTCCCGTCCCCAGCAAGGACCCCCCCGGGCCCTTGGTGCCCGGGAGCCCCCTCCCCCACGACCCGTCCCTCAGGGGCTCTGGGCAGTGTCTGCGCCTGGACCCCAGTGAGGCGGCAGCTCGGAGCTGGGTCAGCACGGGGAGCTGGGGGCAGGATTTCTGGCTGAGGGGCCACTGCAGCTGGCTGTGCCTGGGGTCCCCGGGTCGGTTCGGGTGAGAGGGTGTCTTGGGGCACCCCGGGCCGAGGGGCCAGGAGGAGGATGGCCTGAGCCACAGCCCCTCGGTGTTGGCCAGGGGGCCGTGGTCCCCAGGTGCATCCCTGCTGGGAAGGGGCCCCCCGGCAGGACAGCAGGACATGATGTGGGAAGCCGGGGGCTGAGGGACGGGAGGCGGCAGGACCACACCCTGCACTGGACGCTGTGCACCGCGAACCCCGTGGTCGACCCGCAGTGCAGGGCTCTGCCGGGCACCCTCGCCCAGGGAGGCCCCTCTCACCAGCGTCTGGCGCCCCCCCCCCCCGGTCCCCCACTGGCTCTGGGGACGGCCTCGCTCCTGCGCCCGGGGAACAGGCCAGGTGCTGCCCTGAGGCACGCTTGGCCCTTGGGTGCAGCAGCTGCGCAGAGCACGGCGCAGACCCACCGGCGAGCTCGGAGTGAGAGTCCTGAGAGCATGTCGGTGCATGTGCACACGCCTGTGTACTCACATGCACATGTACACGCCTGTGTATGCACATGTGTACACATGCTGCACACCCGTGTACACATATGCACATGTGTATACACAATCACATTGCACACCTGTGTACACACATATATGCACACATCTGTGCAGGTACACTGTACACCTGTGTATACACATGCACATGTGCACATCTGTGTACAACATGCAGGCCTGTGTACACACTGCACAGCCGTGTACACATACGCACATGCGCACACCTGTGTACACACATGCACATCTGTGTACAACGTGCAGGCCTGTGTACACACTGCACGCCCATGTACACACGTGCACGCCTGTGCTCCCTCAGCGGTTCCCACCTGCTGGGCCATCCAGGGACAAGACCCCGGAGCCGGGTTCTGGACAGCCTTGCCCTGGTGACAGTGGAGGCCGCCAGCAAACGCGTCTCAGGGTAAAGGTCATTTTATTTGGCTCCTGTTTGACCTGGCACCACATCACACGTGGTCACAGAACCAGCCCCGAGGGTCTGCCGCAGTGCGAGGCAGGTGCATGCCGCCACGCTGTGGTCCGCCTGGCGCTGCCCGGGTCCGTCCAAGGAAGCCACACCGTGGGCCCCGCTGAGGACGCCCCTCGGGGGCTACTCTGCCCGCCAGAGCCCCAGAGACTCCCGAGCTCCCGAAGGCCCCCAGTCCCCCCCCTCCCGAGAGAGCAGGGACGTGGGGTTTCTGGGAGTCGGTCGGTGACCTGTGCCCGGGCCAGCCCTGCGAAGTGCGCCAGCCTTGCCCCTCGCTGCGGCCTCGTCCTGTCCCGGCGCCCGCTGGGCAGTGCCGGCCTGGCCCTCCCGGCCAGGGTCCCGGCTGTCCCCTCGCTCCCTGGGCTTCAGGGCCTGCGTCCTGCAGAGGTGGACCCAGGACCCAGGTGTTGGCTGAGACCTGCAGGTCAGCTTGGGGCCTGCCGGGCAAAGGCAGCGCCGGACACCCCCGCCCTGGACGGGGCGCCGGGCACGGGACGGGCCTTGCACAGGAAGCTGCCACACCAACTCCGGGTCCCTCCCAACTCCCAGCTCTCTGCTGTGGATGTGACCTCACAGGTCACGTGGGAGGCCATCGCAGGGCAGAGGCCTGACGATGGGCCCCACGTGCCAGCACAGCCTCTGGGGACAGGCCCCAGCCTGGGCCAGCAAAGAGGCGGGTGCCCGGTGTCCTGGTGCCCTGAGCTGGCCTGGTCACTGCAAGGAGAGGCCGGGCGGCCGCGTGCTGAGTGTGGCCTTAGCCCCTGGCGCCTGGCCAGGGCTGGTCTGCAAATGGGCCTGGGCTTCCAGCACAGAAGGGTGCCAGGCAGGAAATTGAGTCAGTGCCTGCCGGGCAATCCAAGGCCCTTGGTGGCACCTCGCAGGCCCCGAGGAGCCGTGTGCCGGCGTGGGCGCAGCCTCTGAGCAGGAGTCGTGGCGTCGCCCTGTTGTTGGAATCGAGCCGCGGTCTGGTTTGGGCCGAGGTGCCCCTTGGTGCCCCCACAGTGACCCAGGCCAGGCCCGTGGGCTCCCGGGCAAGAGGGGCGGGTGGGCTCACGTCTTGGCATCAAGCTTCTGTTTCAGATTTTTTTAAAAATACACTCTTTGGCTTCCTTTTATTTCTCGAGGATTACATGAAACGTGAACTACGCAGGGAGCCGCAGCCAGCCCCCCCGGGGTGCGGCCGGGCGTCCCTGTCCGAGCTGGGGGCTTCCGCCGGCCCTGCCACCAGTCTGTCCCCTCCGGCCCCCGCGCCCGGGCACCGGGCCTACTGGGAGCCGCTCACGAAGCTGTTCTCGATGCACAGCACGGCGTAGGCGGCGCGGCAGCTCGCGGCCTGCTGGCCCAGCAGCCTGCCCGCCAGCAGCGAGGAGGCCTGGCCCGTGGCCTCGGGCGCCTCCGTCCGCCACGTCTCGCAGTAGCTCTCGGTCAGCCGGCGCCCGCTGGGGTCCGAGCCGTGCCACACGCTCTTCTGGGGCCTGCAAGGGGTACCGCGTCAGCCGCACCCAGACCTGCTCCCCCGGAGGCCACAGGGCTGCCCTGCCGGCTCCACCCCACGCTGCCCTGCCGGGCGCCCCTGCCGCAGAGGTGCCTCAGGCAGGTCCTCCCCGCTGGGTGGCCTGGCCCCCAGTGACAAAGGCGTCCTGCTGCCACCTTGCTAGGAGCAAGCTCCACCTGCCTGGGGATAGCCCCGCCGCCCAAAGCTCTCAGGTCAGGGACAGGGGTGGCCCTTGGCGGGCGCATCTGAGTAAGAGGATGGCCAAGGCCCCGGCACCTCTCGGGCCACACCTGCGTGACCCCCTTGGGGGAACAGGCACCTCACACCTGGCGGGCTGGGGGACATTTGGTGTGACGCCTTTTCGAGGGCATTCTGGCGATTTCTGTCGCTATCTCATGTGCGGGCACGAGAATTGACCTTGGCGTTCATCGTCAGCAGGATTGGTCACGTTGTCGTCACGGGTGCCTGCACAGAGCAGGTCCGCCGTGGGCAGCAGGGCTCGGGCGCCCGGGGTGCTCTTGGCACCAGGTTGCTCTTAGCAACACTGCTGAGGGGGAGCTCCCAGGGGCGGTTTCTATGTCCTGTCTGCTCTGTGGACGTGATATTTAAGTACAAAGCCTGGATAGGACCAGTTCGAAGACTCAGGGTGACACGCTGGGAGGCAGGAAGACGGGGCACACGCCACCCCTTTGCTGGGAGCTCTGCGGAAGTTCTGCCGCCTGCCGGGGACCTACCAGGCCGGGTGTCTCAGGACGTCCTTGCCATCGAAGGAGAGGATGCGGGCCCCCGGCCTCAGCTGGGCCTGGGAGCCGGAGAACAGGGCCTCCCAGCTGGGGAACAGCTCCTCATCCTGCACGGGAGACGGGGTGTGGGCTGCCCATCCCTGCCACGTCCTGCCCGGGACCAGGCAGGTCCCCAAGCCCGGCAGGGGGGCCCCGGCCCGTCAGAGGGTGGGTCTCGAGTCCCCGCTGCGGGTGCTGGGGACACGGCGCTCCCGGGGCATCGGTGACCACGCCCGCTCACGAGGAGGAGCCACGGACGCAGCCCCTGGAGGGGTGCTGGTGAGAGGGGCCGCCAGGCCGGGGGCCTGGAGGACGTTTCCTGACCCAGGCTCACGTGTGGGTCGTGTCCTGCTTGGCATGGCCGGAGTGGCCGGTGGTGCAGGAGCCCCTGGAAACACCCAGGTGGGAGGAGACAGGATGCTGGGAGGTGTCACCAAGGTGCGGGGACTTCATGGGAGGCCCTGGGGGGGCGGCCCAGATGCAGAGGGGTCTGGGCTCCTGCTTGGTCCTGGGGGGCGTGACCCCACCCCACCAGTGCCGCCCTGAGGTCACTGGCAGGGGTGCGGCAGCCTCCCCTGGCCCACCGTGACCGAGCACCTGAAGCCAGGTACGTGCGTGGGAGTGGGCCTGCCGTGGCTGCGCACCTGAGACCAGGTGTGTGTGTGGGAGTGGACCCACCGTGACCCCACACCTGAGGCCAGGTGTGTGCGTGGGAGTGGGCCCGCCGTGACAGCGCACCTGAGGCCAGGTGTGTGTGTGGGAGCAGGCCCGCCATGACCCCGCACCTGAGGCCAGGTGCATGCTTGGGAGCGGGCCTGCCGTGGCTGGGTGGCCGACCCGACCCACCTTGAGGTTGACGACGGGCACGGCGGCGCGGTCGGCGCGGCGCACGATGCTATAGAGGTCCTGCAGCCGCGAGGACAGGAAGGCCCGGAAGGTGCCAGCCAGCCCCGCCGCCCGCGCCTGCTGGAAGCACTGGAAGTCGGCCCCGCGGATGCCGCGCATGCCGCCCGACAGCGGGCTGTTGAGCGCGATCAGGTGCAGCTGCGGACGGGACGCCGCGTCAGGGGCCGTCCCCCGCCACCCTCGCCGCCCCGTGACAGCTGCAGTGGCTCCACCAGCCGAAGAGGCAGCTCCCACGCGGCCCCGCCCTCGCCCACGGCGTCCAGAGCAGCTGCCGTGGCCCCCCGAGCAGACAGCGGCTCCCAGTCCTCCACGTGAGCCACGACTGCGTTCACAGGGGCCCACTAGCCACCCAAGGGTGAGTCCCAGGCCGGGCTGGCCCCGCCACGCCTGCCCCACCACGCCTGGTCCTGCCACGCCTGCCCCACCACGCCTGGTCCACCACGCCTGGTCCCGGTCAGCCAAGCCCGCCTGCACCCTGGGCTGGGGACCCCTCTGGCAGCTCTGCAGGGTCCACATCCTCCGTCCCCTCCCCCCGGCACTCACCACCGGCTGGAAGTCCTGGTGGGTGTGGGCGGGGGGCCCTGTGGGGCGCGCAGGCCGGAGGTGCACGTAGGAGCCGTGGTGCGGGGCCCCGGGGTAGGGCTGGGGCGCGGGCAGGCGCGGGGGGCTGGCCAGGATGTCGTCCGCCCGCCAGGGCCGCGCTGTGGAGTGGGGGTGCTCGCGCCGGGGGTAGGGGTTGCTGTCGTGCAGCTGCACCACGGGGGGCTGCAGGGCGGCCACCTCATTGTCCTGCGGGTCGGGAGACCGTGGGGGGCTCAGCACCGGGGTGCAGGTGGCCCCACTTGGGATGCCCTCCCCCGCCCGCACTCTCTGTGCTCTCGGGGGGCTGGGACTGGGCTTCCAGGGGTGAGCAGGAAGCGGCACCTACCTGGGGGTGCCCTGCCCGCCCTCGACGCCCTTGCTCGGCACCCCAGGTCCCCCCCCCTGTGCACGGAGGCCACGGTCCTTGCCCAGGCCCAGGCTGGGCACACACCCCTGAGCTCGGTGGCAGCTTCTGCCCGGGGGGCTGACGCAGGGTGACGCAGCATTTGCTTGGGAGACTAGAAGCTCCTGCCCGTCCACCCGCCCCGGGGCTGTGCCCTCCTGCACCTGGCGCTCGCGTGGGGAGGACAAACACACACGGGAGGTGACTGGGGCCCAGGGAGCATCTGCCGCAGAGACGCAATGAGGGACGTGAGAATGGAGCCTGGGACGGCCCAGCAGAGGCGCCACCGTGGTCTGCACCCATGTTCCAAGCAGGGGCCGAGCGCGGGTCACAGGCGGGGCTCCCCAGAGAACCCGCCGTTGCCCGGGAAACCTCAGACAGGGTGCCCTGCGCCCCAACCTGCCACCGAATCTCTAGAACAGAGAACGCTGCTCACCGTGCCCCGCGGGAGCGGCGTCCGGGCCTCCAGCTGGAAGAGAGCAGGCGGTCACGGGGTGACCCCAGGACCCAGCCCCACCCCCACAAAGCTGACGCCGCTGCGACCCGGGCTGCACCCCAGTGCTGCAGGGACCCCGGCGCCCGGCGGGCACGGCCGGGACCCACGGCCGTAACGAGCAAAGGTGACGCACACGGCGTCATCTACCTCTAAAAGGGCCGCCTTTTTGTAAAAACCAAAAGTGCACATAAAGAAGTTCGCTAACGAAAGAAAAGGAATCGGACACAAATCGCAAAGAGAGGCGTGGCGGCCGCCCGCCCGGTCCCCGTGCAGATCCTGGTCTCCGCCGGTGTCCCTGCCCCACCCCCACACAGGCTGGAAGGAGGGACGCGCCCCCAGGACCCACCTGGACCTTGCGGAACCCGTTCCGGACGCGCACGTAGAGCTCCTCCCGCTCGGCCACGAACATGAGCCAGCCCTCGGGGACCTCGTGCACCTGGTCCAGCAGGGCCTGGTACGTGGCCCAGATCCTCACCTGCTGGAACCCCGAACCCACGCACTGCGGCTGCTGCCCCCGGCCCGGTGGAGGTCGGGAAGGGACGCAGGGAAGGGGCTATCTGCCGGCCCAGGTGCTACTGGCAGACCCCGGGTTCCCACGGGGCCGGCAATGCTGGCTCGGGTGTTTCGGGGTGTTGGGTGGGGAGAGCGGGCGCGTGGACGCAGACGCCATCGCCAGTCAAGACTGGGTGGCCGCCCTCACGAGCAGTGTGGGGGACCCGGCCCCCCACCCCCGGGTGCACAGAGACCATCCTCCTCTCTGCCCCCCCCGGCCCCCAGCCCCTGCGGGTCCACTTTGGAAACTCCAGCTCAGGGCTCCCTGTGCATCTGCCCCGGGCAAAGCCACCTGGGCGCTGGGGGTCCCCTGCGAGCCCCGGGGCTGGCATTGAGGCTGTGACAGGCTGGGGCACGTGGGTGGGGCCCTGGCCACCCGGCTGCTTACCCCTGAGGAGGCACTGGTGGTTCCAGGGGGTCCTGGGGGCCCAGGGGGGCCGGGGGGTCCGGGAACGCTGATGGCTGCAAGAGACAAACCACGGTGGTGGCCGCAGGGACGGCGGCTGGGCGAGCTCTGCCCCGAGCCCACTCCCCACCAACTCACTCTGCCTGTGGGGGCCGGGAAATGACGGGGGTCCCGGCGGGCCTGGGGGGCCGGGGGGGCCCTGGCGCCCCTCGTAGCCGATGCCGGGGGGTCCCTGAGGTCCAGGCGGGCCGGGCGGGCCCCGGATGGTCTCTCCTTTGGCGCCCTAGGTTGAGACGACACGCTGTCACATGACGCATGCCGTGGGCGGGAGCAGTGGGCCTGCTAGGACCCCCCAGTCCTGGGCTACACGTCGCCCCCGACTGGGGACCGGGAAACTCAGGCCCCTCCCAACTACCCCTCCCCTGGGGGTGCGACCCCCCAGCAGACTGTAGCGCCCCGGCAGTGGGGAGGCCGCAGGTGGAGGCCAGGCCTGTGGCTCCCTGTGTCTCCCAGCACAGGCAGGTCCTGAGCCCTGAGCGGGTTTGGCCCCGTCCTGCTCGAGGCCCGAGGACCATGGGCGCTGCGTCAGTGAGCACCCGCGGGTGCAGCACCGAGGCCGTGGGGGTGTCCCCGCTCCCCCACCTGCCGGCCCCTGTGTGGGGGCAGGGAAACATGGGGGCTCCCGGGGACCTGCCCTGGGCTCCTGCTCCCCGGCTCCAGGTCGAGAGCTCCCTGCACAGCCTGGGCTGTCGGGCACCTGCTCCCAGCCCGGGGCTGGGGCTTACCGGGATCCCTGGGTAGCCCGGAGGGCCTGGGGGGCCGGGAGGGCCCGGCACGCTGGAGCCGAAGAAGCCGCCGCCCCCGGGCGCGCCCCTCTCTCCTTTCTGTCCGGCGTCTCCCCGCTCTCCTTTCTCCCCCTGTGGGAGGAAACCCATGTCAGGAGGAAGGGGTGGGGGTAACACCGACCTCTGACCTCCATAAGCCACAGTGGGGGGCCCTGTCCCTCCCACACCAAGACAAGGCAGCTAGAAGCTTCTGGAGCCGGGGCCTGGCCCCTAGAACAGGGCTCAGCTCCCACCCTGCTACCTGGGCCCTGTCCCCGAAAACCTGCTCTGGGGACAGAACGGCCTGAGTGGCCCCCTGGGGCGGGGCCCCCGCCTGGGATCTGCGGCCCCAGCCCAGCCTGGGGGGTCACCGGCCCGACCCGGGAGGTCACCCACCTTCATTTCAGCCTCTAAGTGCAGCAGGTCGAACGGGAACTGCCCTGCGGAGTGAGGGGGACAGTGGGTGGCCGTGGAAGGGACGTCCCACGTGAGCCCTTCCGGGTCCTCACCAGTAACTTGCGTGTTTCTCTGCGCAGACACTGCGTGTTTTACTGCACGGATTCCTACCTAACTGATGCTTTCCACGTTTTCATCAGTGATGCCTTTGAAAAACATTTCTTATTTATTTGTGACTGAGCTGCCCTGTCTGGACAACCGCGTACGTCACTTACTGATTCTGACAGCTGACTTGGAGATGCTTTGGGGTTGTTTACACAGAAATCACGTCCTCTGTGGACATGAGGGACGCTTCCTCCCCAGCACCCTGTCCCCACCCAGCTGAAGACCCCACACCTCCCGGTGGGCAGGAGAAGCCCCTCCGGGGTGCCCGTCCCTCCTCCGCGCTTCCGAGGCTAGGTCCCGGCAGAGGCGCCGGTGTCCAGCCTTGGAGAGGCCCGAGTCCGGGTTTTCCGGACCCTTCCTGCCTCGTATAGATGTGACACCACACGGTGCCCTCCCTCTCTGACCTCAGTGCTTCTTAGCCGCCTGTCACCCTCACACGAAACGTGCTGTTTGGTTTCTGACTTCTCAAGCCGAACACCCGGAAACTTCCCTAGCGTAGGCTGTGACTCTGAACAGCGAAGAAACTGCGTTTTCCTGGGGGAGCCACCGGTGCCCGACGGGAGCCAGCCCCGGGCGCCTGCAGACGAGCTTCCGCTCCGCTCAGCCCCCCGGCACGGCCTGGTCCCGCTGGTGGGTCCGTGCCCAGACGTGTCGGTGGTCACGCTCACGGCCCTGCTGTGAGCCCCTCCGCCTGCCGAGCCTGCACCGCCCTACGGCTGGCCGGGGCGGCGTCTCTGGCTGCCAGCGTTCACCGTGACATTCCGAGGCCGTTATTGACACGTAGAGATTCATAACTGGATTTTTCCGGCAGACTTGTTCATCCTGATGAACGTTCCTTCTTGATTTGTGGCCACGTTCTCTCCTTAGGTGCTGTGTGTCTGAACACACCCCACACATGCATCACACACATCATACACACACATGCATCACACACTACCCACACACGGATCAATCAACCACATTGCATCATACACACATCAACATTTCACCACACCACACATCACACTACAATGCATCATACACCATTCACATCTTAACCGCACACATCATCACATAACATGCATCACCATCATTTCACACATTACACCACACACCGACATCATACACATGCATCATTCACCACGATCACATTACACCCCACATTGCATACACATACACATTCATCACATACATCACACATTACACCACAAGCACACTACACACTGATCCACACACATATACACCACACACACGCATCACATGACACTGCACACATAACATCCACATTACACACACACATTGGGTCACATTACTTACATCCCTCACAACACATGCACTCACACCACACACACATCCACGAAACATCACGCATGAAAATTACATGTAAAACACGATACACACACATGCATCACAGACATCACACACAACAATCATAACAACGCCCGGGTCCGCCTCCTCTTCTGGCGGACTCGGCTGTTGCTGTGCTCTGGCCATCCTTTGAAAGGTGGGCGCTCAGAACATCCCTCATTTTTGGAGAATTCTCGGCCCTTCTGCCCCCAACGCTGCCCTGCTGGTGCCCTTGTGCCCGAGCTGGCGCCCGGTGGCGCGTGGGGCCGCGTGCTCCCCTCTGCACCGTCCGCGCTCTCTCCACCTCTGCACCCGGACACCAGGGCTCCGCCCTCCTCCGTGTGGCGTGGGCGGGTCCTCACGCCCAGCTGTGGCTCTTCCGTCCCAGAACTAAGCTCCCCCTCTTTCGCTGCCCACTGACACCTCCCTCCTCTCCTTAGTGTTCTGGCGCGGCCGTCAGTCAACGCCCGGGCCCGCCTCCACCGCTCCTCTGCATGGCCGGCGCATTGTCGCTGCTGCCCTGCCCTCCCGGTCACCTCGGTCACGTGGGATGGTCCGGCCTGGATTTGGCCTCCGCCCCGGGTCCCTTTCCGTGCGGGAGCAGCCCCGGCTGGAGTGCCGGTGGGGCCTGGGTGCAGCTCCCACGCCCGGGGGCTCTGGAGGCCCAGCTGCCGCTGGGCCCGGCAGGTGCTGGTCAGACCCAGCCCGACTGCCCCCACCGGGGCGGAACGCAGCAGGGACGGCCTCGGCAGCCGTCATGGGCCCTGGCCCTGGGAGGGCTCCACGCACCTCGGGCCGGCGCATAGCATGGCGCCTCACCTGGGACACCAGAGTGCTCACCTGGGGGTCCGGGGGGGCCCACTTCTCCCTTGTCACCCTTTGGTCCAGGAGGCCCCTGGTACCCTGGAGGAACAAAGACCCCAGCGCCCGTCACCAAATGCACCTGCGAGGCCTCTGGGCCTGTCCCGCCCACTCACACCCTGTGCCCGGCATGGACGTCGGGGGGAGGGGGGACACGGAGCAGGGGCTCAAGGAGAGCACGGGCCCCGAGGGTGGTGCCGGGCCACCTCTGCCCGTCTACGGGAGGAGAGGACAGCAGACAGGTGCCACCTACGTGTCCCTGCTGTCCGCGGCCAGGCTGCCCGCAAGGCCGTGCCAGGCGGGGCCGGGGGATTCTCACTGCAGCCCGGCGCGGCGTCAGGCAGGAGGGCCTGGAGCTGCTCCCCCCCCCCAGCCTCGAGCCCACGGAACTCACCTGGCAGTCCTGGAGGCCCAGGGCGGCCGGACTCCACAAATGCCTGCAGAGAGGGGCCCAGAGGTGGCTGCTGAGGGACACTGCTCTGGGGACGAAGGCCACCACCCGTCCCGCAGGCCCTGAGCCCAGAAGCCCCGCCCCCTGCGAGGCCACACCGGCAGCTCCCCCAGCACGCAGGGTTTGGGGACAGGGGTCTGGAGCCAGAAGGCCTCATGGCGCCTCCACCTCGCCAAGCCTGGTGGTCCCGGGGTGCTCTAGCACCGCCATGCTCAGGCCCCCGCCCTCCTTGGGGGGCTCAGCCCACGAAGAGCCCGTCCTAGAAGCAGCCTGGGCGCAGAGGCGTGCCGTGTGTGTGGGGGGGTGCAGATTCTCCGTGACTCCAGGTCAGGAGCCGTGGGGGCCACGGAACAGTGGGCGCCGTGGGGACTTACGTTGCTGTCGTAGACAGGAGTCCCCGGGGGGCCTGGGGGTCCCGGAGGCCCGGGGGGGCCGGGCATTCCCTGTGTGGGACAGACAGCTGGGGTCAGTGAGGTTCGCGGCCAGCCCCTCCACCCCACCCGGCGGCAGGCGTGGGCAGGAGCATTTGTGTCCTGTGACCGCGGCGAGAAGACCCACACCGGGAAGACACGCATGTAGGCACCGGGCTACTCTGCCGTCGGGTCCCCGAGGGGAGGACTGGCCCTTCCCACTTCCAGGAGGTCCCGCCCCTGGGCCCGCGCCCTGCAGACTGGGGGCGCAGGTCGGTGAGACTCCCAGGTCAGGAAGGCGCCCCAGGAGCCACTCTGAGCGGCTTTAACTTGCGGGGTGCATGTGTGTGAGCTCGCCATTCACTTCTCCAGGGAAAGAGCACGCACAATCCGGTTCAGGCCGTGTCAGCAGCGTGTGCTCCAAGAGCCACACGTGCCTCGCGGGAGGACGGATGGGGTTGGAAGGCCGGGGTCGGGTGTGAGCGCACTTCCCTTCCCGCACGTGCGGTCCCTCGACAGGGGCCGGGGCGCCTCTTGCCAGGGGCCGCCACGGAGTCGGGGGCAGGATCAGGGCCCACAGGAGGCCCCGGGGCAGGGCCGGGGCAGGGGACACCCTCCTCTCGAGGGAAACAGCCGTGTGACTGCGTTTAGGGAGCCACAAGCGAGAACACAATCCGAGAGCCCGTCTTCTGCTTTTGACGGCGTGACCTGTGCGGGTCGCCCTGTCTCAGAACCTGCACGACGCAGCGTGTTCTCGACCGTGCACACGGCGGCAGCCACGCTTTGGTCCCGAGACAGGAACGCAGCAGAGGAAACGACAGCAATGGGAAGGTCACAGCGCCGACCCCACTGCGCCCCCTGCACACAGCCCCCACCAGGGCAGAGGCCGAGGGCGGGGTCGCGGGGGTCGGTGTGGGACAGGGCGCACCGCCTGGGCGAGCTGGGCTCGGGTGGGCGGCCCCTCCCCGGGCTGCACTGGGCTCGGCAGCAGCTGCTCGGGCAGAAAGCGACGAGAAAGCCCAGCCACTGAGCCACCGCAGCGAGACACGTGGCAGGGAGGCCCACACGCAGAGTCCACGCTGGCCTGGATGCCCTTCCGATAAAACACACGGTCTGTTCCCAGTGGGCTTGGGCAACACGCATGTGCATGTGTGCCTGTGCATGAGTGTGCTCAAGTGTGCGTATCCATGTATATGTGAGTGTGCACATGCATGCACATGTATCTCTGCACATATATAAGCATGTGCACATGCATGGGTATACATGTATGCATATGTGAGGTTCCATGTGTACAAATGTGTATTTGTATCCATGTGTATGTGTTATGCAAGTATACATGTGCACCTGTACGCGTGTATATGGATGGGTGCACACGTGGACATGTGTATATGTATCAGTGTACCTGTGTATAGGTGTCTGTATATTACAAATATGCCAGTGTATGTGTGCCCACATATGAGTGTACATGACATGTGTATATGCATACGTGTATGGGTGCACACATGTACATGTGCGTATAGGTATGAGTGCACACGTGTATAGGTATCTATATTATGAATGTGCCCATGTATGCATGTATGTGAGTACATGTGTATATGTGTAAGTATATGGCTACACACATGCATGTGTTCATATGTATGAGTATGCAGGTGTATGGATATATATTTAGAATGTGCCCATGTACGTGTGCCCATGTATGCATGTAGATGACTACATGTGTATATTCATAAGTGCTGGGGAACACATGTACATGTGTGTATAAGAGCACATGTGTACAGGTATGTACTATGCATGTGCCCATGTACATGTGTGCTCATATATGTGTGTGCAGCAGAGGATGTGTCTGGTGCGGCCACGCTGGCTGCCGCTCTGGAGCAGACAGACAAGCTGCAGGACCCAGGCCCTGGCCAGGCAGTGCGGTCCCAGCATCCAGCCACCGTCCCCCGCGGGGCACTCACCCTCGTGCCCAGCGCCAGGCTGGCCTCTCCCGGCTCCCCTTTCTCTCCTTTCAGTCCGTTCATCCCGGGGCGACCCTGGGCAGAGCACAGTGGCGGGAACTGCTGGGCGCGGCCACACCACAGCCTCCGCCGTGTCCCTGCAGGGTGGCTGCTGCAGCCTCCCGGTCACCCCCAACCAGCGCCGGCCTCCCGCACCCCTGCCCTGCGCTCCCAGCCCTCTGCCCGTCTGCCTGCCCCAGGCCCTCTGGGGAGGGGGACCGGCCCCCGCAGCACCCAAGGCCTCCTGCTGGGCCTGAGCTCCCCACAGGTGAGGACTGGGACCCCCACCCGGCCACCTCTGGGACGAGAGCTGTGCTCAGGGATAGTTCTGAGGGAGGACGAGGGAGAGACAGCTGTCCACCCCACTCTGGGCCCACCGCCCCAAGGGCCTGGGCTGCTGTCCACCTGCCAGGCCCCCCAGGGAGCCCCCCAGGGAGCCCAGGTCCTCACCGGCCGTCCAGGAAAGCCGATCTCCCCCTTGTGCCCTGGCCGTCCGTATGGGCCCTGCAGAGAGGAGGGTCCCGGCTTCAGGGGCTGGGGGCTACAGAGAGGCCCTGCCCCCGCACAGTGGGGTTGGGGGTGAGGCCACGCAGAGACCAGCCCCCGCCACCCGTCCGCTCAGAGCCGCCCCTGTGGCCTCCACCCCACCCCGCCCCGTGTGTTTTAAAGACACGGTTGGGAGACAAACCCAGGGCCACACAGAACACACTGAGCAGCCACTCGGCGACAAGAGTCCAGCGTGCGGCACGCCTTGCTCCCTGCAGAGGGAGTGGGGCCCTACTCACCGGGGGTCCTCGGAAGCCGGGCTCTCCCTGGACAGAAAACCAGAAGGCACCGTGAGGGGGCTCTTCCCCCACCCCCGACAGCCTCCCCAGGGTCCCCGGCCCGTGGGGGGCACCAGGCAGCACCCAAGGCCACAGGTGACACGGGGGAGCACAGGAAACGCCCACGGGGAGAAGGTTCTGGGTCAGGCTTTGCGTGGCGGGGGGCGTGGCCTGGGGCCCTGCTAAACAGGGGAGGTGGCCCTGCCCTGCCCGCACAGTGCCCCTGCTGGGGACACCTGGGCGACACTCAGCTATGCGGCCGTGGGGGTCTGGTGGCCGGGCATCCAAGGCCTGAGGCCAGTCCCTAAGCCTGGAGGGCTCGGGTCCCCCCTGCAGGCCTGTGGGAGCCTGGCCGGCATGCCCCGGGGATGGGGACCCCCCACGCCACTCCCTGGGGGCTCCCTGGGGTGGGGACGCAGGGCACAGCCCCCCCAAGGAACTGCCTCCGACCCCGCAGTGCCCAGGCTCCCGAGGGTGCCCGAGGCCTCTGCCCCAGCGCCGGTGCCCCCAAGTAGGGCCGGGAAGCCCCCCAGGGACGCAGACGCGGGCCCGGTACAGCCTGGGCTCCCACGTCTCCTGCAGGATGCCGGGGCGGAGGACCGAGGGTGGAGCTGTGGCCCCCGGCCCCCTGCAGGGGAGCGGCTCTGGGGGGACAGACCGACAAAGGAAGGCCGTCCAGGCCTCACAGGGTATCCCAGAGCCCGGCTTGGGGGAGGCGTGAGACCCCGGCCGCGCCTGCCTTCACCTTCGCTCCTTTCAGGGCAGGGGCCGTGGTGCTGCCGTCGGGGCCGAAGATGCCGCCGGGTTCGCCCTTCTCTCCCTGGAACGGCAGAAGCCGGAGGGTGAGGCCGGCTCTGGGCAACGACCGGCCTCACGGGAGCCCCCCGAGCACCCGAAGGCGGGCGGTGTGGGCCCCTCGGGGACAAGCTGGGCTGGGGTCTGTCACTCGCCCACTAAGGGACAACTCCAGCCAGCCTGGGGGCTCCCTGGGTCCCGCCCCAGAGGGGCGCCTGGCAGAGCGCGGCCGCCGCCACGGCACACGGGAGGGCTGTTCACTGGAGGCGCGTCCGGCTCTGGCCGTGGCCTGGGTCACCCTGAGGCCAGAGGCTCCGGTCCCTGCCCATGCCCGGCCCAAGCAACCTTGCCACCTTACCTTGGGTCCTGGGAAGCCTCGTTCACCCTTGGAGCCCAGGTCGCCCTTGGGCCCGGCGGGTCCCTGGAACAGAGCAGGCAGGAGTGAGGGGCTGCGCGGCCCAGCGTGCCCGTCCCTGGCGACCGCCACCCCCTTCCACGCTGCTCCCCGGGGATGCGCTGCCTCACTCCGTCCACCCAGCCACAGGTGGGGAGGCCACGCCACCCAGAGACCCCACCGGGCACAGGAAGATGCTCGGCCCCAGGGGGCCTGCCAGGCGCTGGCCGGCCGGGTTCTCAGTACCCCGCTAACACGGTCCAGGACGGCGCGGGCCCTGCCCCTGGCTGCGCAAGGCCCAGTGCACAGACGGGCGGGCAGGGGCGACTGCCGTGAGCCCACAGTCCTGGGGGGCTACTTACGGGGAAGCCTGCGTAGCCCGGCCTGCCCTGCAGGAAGAGGGGCCGCGTCAGGAACAGCAGGGTTCTGGGTGAGCCGCCCCCCGACCCGCCCGGACCCCGCACGTACCTCGGGCCCTGGCGCGCTCAGCAGGGCTCCCTGTCGGCAGAGAGAGAGATTAGGAAACAGGAGACGTCGCCAAAGGCTAAACTCAGCTGCGCTATGTTACTGCTACGAGACCAACAACACAACACCAGGAACCTAAACCTAAAAGGGGAATCTTCCTTGCGACAGTCTCTCTGGTCTTTGCCTGAACGTCCCTCTGGTAACCCCGAAGCCACTTCCCGGGGGCCCCCCTGCGCCCCACAGAAACCTCCCCCCAGGCTCAGAGCGCCCCTAGCCGGACTCCCGGCTCCCCAGGGCCACAGGTTTAAGCCCATTTTTGTCTGAAACGCTCAGACGCTGCACTTCTGGGCTGGCCATGCTGATGGGCCGCCCCGCCGTGGCCAGAGGAGGTTGGCGGGCAGTGACCCCGCGTGGCCTTGGCCTGCCCAGGTCCCCGCCTCTCGGCCCAGGCGCCGGCCCCTCTTCCTGGTCCTGCTGGCCCCCGGGGGCCCCCTCCGTCTGCTGCTCGCTCAGCCCCCAACCTCACCAGGTGACTGCGCCCCCAGCTCTTAGACCAGGGAACCTAGCACAAAGAGGTTAAGTGACTTGTCATGGCCACACAGCCGGCAGTGCTGGCTGGACCCCACAGGCAGCCCTCCCATGGGGAGGAAGGTTCCGGACCCGACACGGCCCTTCACCCAAGAACCTCTCCGGCTCCCGACGAGGCACGTGGACCAACCGCTTGCAGTTGGGGCCACGTTCTGTGGGGCAGAGGGACCGGCCACCGGGAAGTGTCACGGTAAAGCAGGCGTGTCTCCCCCCAGGACGCCGCACTCCCTCCCCTGCGCCCCCCCCATCCTTGATCGCGACGCGGAGCTTGGGCTCTCTGTGGTGTCTCCGGCTGAGGGCCAGGCCCTGTCCCACACTCGGGGTGGGGGAGTCTGGGGATACCAGGCGCCCACCCAGTGTCCTTACGTCCTGCTCCGACACGTAGACCACGGGCCCCGGCGGTCCGGGGGGCCCGGGGAGGCCGGGCTGCCCCACTCCGTCCTTCCCTGGGTCGCCCTGGAAGAGATGGCCGAGTGCACGGCGCTCGGTCACTGCGCTCCGGCCGGGACCCCAGGGACCTTCCTGGCCACGGAGGGGGTCCCGGAGCCCACGGTGAGAGGGGCACTTGGGGGCCCTGGCCGTGGAGGGGGTCCCAGAGCCCATGGATGAGAGGGGCACTCGGGGGCCGTGGACAGTGGCTGTGGGCCCCACCACCAGCAGGGCACGCTGTCACCCGGACGTCCAGCCACACCCCGCACGCTGCTCCTAGCCCCAGGGCCGACCCTGCTGACGGGAGGGTCTCTGCCCAGCGTCTCTGGGGCCACGCGGTGGCAGGGTAGGCGTGGCCTGGGGCCGCACGCTGAGGCCATGGCTGTGCTGGGATGTCGGGCCCCACCGTCCGCCCTGTGCACCTGCAGCCCCGGGCTGCCCCCTGCCCCACCAGGGACACTCACCTTCTCTCCCCGGCTCCCTCTGTCCCCTTTCGGTCCCTGCAGAGACAGGAGGAAATGTCACCATAGACAAACACAAGACCCCTTCCAGGAGACCCTGCATCCCCAGGACTGGCCTGGAACACAGACGTGGGGGGCTCTGCGTCTCCAGACCTGGGGCTGGAGGAAGGGAAGCCCGGGGACCCTGAGAGCCATGCCATGGCCGGCGCTGAGCTCCATGTGCCCTTCCTGGGTCGCTCACCTGGGGCCCGGCAGCGCCCTCTCTGCCGGGCAGGCCGGGGAACCCGCGGGCCCCGTCCGCCCCGACTTCTCCCTGGAAGGGAAGAGGGTGCAGGGTCAGCCGCCCGGGCCGGGAGGACCCCATCACATCCGCACAGTGACGGTGGCAGGCACTCGCTCACCCTGAAGGGGGTTCAACCCGGTGGGGTATCTGGGGGTGCAGGAGTGGGGGAGGGTCCAGAGGGGCGTCTGGAGGAGGGGGGTCTGGTCTGGCAGAGCTGCAGAGGCACTCTGACTTTACCTGACCCAGTAAAACCTGGGGTGCCCTTGGGGGGAAATGCCCTAGATGGAGGTGCTCTGGATGGGGGATGCCCTGGATGGAGGTGCCCTGGATAGGGGGTGCCCTGGATGGAGGTGCCCTGGATAGGGGGTGCCCTGGATGGAGGTGCCCTGGATAAGGGGTGCTCTGGATGGAGGTGCCCTGGATAGGGGGTGCCCTGGATAGGGGGTGCCCTGGATGGAGGTGCCCTGGATAAGGGGTGCTCTGGATGGAGGTGCTCTGGATGGGGGGTGCTCTGGATAGGGGGTGCCCTGGATAAGGGGTGCTCTGGATGGGGGTTGCCCTGGATGGAGGTGCTCTGGATGGGTTATTTGTTGGGGGAAATACATTGGATGGGGAGTGCCCTGGATTGAGGGAAATACCCTGGATTGGGGGGTCCCCTGGAGGGACTGTGCCTGGAGGTATGAAGTGGGGGATGCCTGGCCCGGGCTCGTCTCTGAAACGGGCACCCTAACTTACAACGAAACAGGCAGTGTGAGGAAGGGGGGGCCGCAGCCTGGCCTCTGGGCCGAGGGGGGACCCTGGGCACCCTCCCCACCCAGCCTGGCCCCCCACATGCCGTCATCCCAGTTCACTGAGGCTCAGGGGGACAGGACACCTGGCCTCCCCCGGCCCCTGCCCCTGCCCCCCTGTTCTCCCCAGGACCCCACACGGGTGCTCACCTTGGCCCCGGGTGGCCCAGGCGTCCCGGGATCCCCCTGCGTGGACAAAGGTTCTGTGAGCCCAGCCCAGGCGGCACCCCCCGAGTCCCCCCAGCAGGAAGGGTGAGTGAGTCCCACACACCCTGGCCCCGAGCTCAGGGTCCCGGGACCCTGCGGCCCCACTAGCGGAAGGGCCGTGAGCATCAGCCCAACAGACGCTGGTTGGGACTGTTCCGAAAGGTGGTGACAGTCCGTCAGCCTCACTGTAAGAGCAACTCCGCTGAGATGCTTTCCATTTAAACAATTTAGGAACACTAGTCAGTTTGCCCTTCTAAAAATCAGGTGTCTTGCAAATCAAAGAAAACACTCCAGAGGCCAGGTGAGGAGTGGAAGGACCCCCAGGAGCTAAGGCCCCTCCTGGGCAGCCCCCACACCTGCCCACCTGCCTAGGGCTGTGGGCCTGGGGGATGGGGCTGGTGACCCAGGGAGAGGGCAGAGAATGCCCCCCCCATGCCCGAGGCTGGGGCGGGGGCTCCGGGCTCTTCCCCAAGCCCCTCTCTTGGCCCTAGGCAGCAAATACTCTTTGCTGTGCGGAGGCGGGGTCTTGGCTGCGGTTGGGGGCCTCATGCCTGCTGTCGGGCAGGGGTCACAGGCTACACCCCCTTTTCTGCTGCATTGTGCTCACTTCCCTGGCGAACTCGAGTGGGCAGAAAGCCATGGCGGGAGCAGCAGCCCGGGCGGGGGCGGGGGGCGCCCCGTCTGCTGCACCGGACCACAGGGGCCGAGGCTGAGCAGTGGGGGACAGCTGGGGCCAGAGGCCTGGGCCTGTCGCTCACTGACCTTGAGTCCTGGCGGGCCGGGCCGTCCCTGTCGGGACAGAGGAGACGGCGTCAGTGCGGCCCCCGCCTGCCGGGCACGCCTCGTCCCGCCAGAACGTGGGCCCGTTGGCAAAGGTTAAGATATGTTAGGATATGTAAAGCAAAGGCACTGAGTTAAAATTGTAAAGCCATCCTAACTCGCTACGGAATCAGGTTTTGCTGGGTTCGAATTTCTCATTAGTCCTGCTCAGAGTAGGAAGCGGGTCCCCGCAGGAGAAGCGGGTGCTGGGTGCTGCAGCTTTTAGCCCCGATGCATCCCCCTGGGCAGGGGCTCGGGCCCGCCTGCTGCTCCGCGCAGGCCCCGGGGACGGGCGGCGTGTCTGGCGGGGCCACAGCAGGGACGGCGGAGGAGCCTCCCCCGGGCCGCCCCGACCCGCTGTCCTGCATGAGCCCCGGTCCTGCCCGGGCTACGGTCCCCGCCAGCCAGCCCTGCCCCCGGCCAGCGCACACGCCAACCGCAGAGCGAGGCGGGGACTTCACGAAGACGCCCGTTTTTATCCGGTTTGGATTATGCCTGGGCCAAATACTTGCTACTTCCCCACGCCGGAGCCACAACGAGAATTCGGTGACTTGACTTCCCCAGAAAGACCCTCCTTTGGAAAGACCCCCCCATGCGTCCGCCTCGCCCACCCCCACGAGCCCCGCGGCGGGGGCCGGGTCCCCGTCCGGCGACTCTTCCACTCGGCAGAGTTTCCGGCAAGGGACAGTGGCCGGGGTGGACGGTGCCGGGGACCATGCGGCCCTGGTGGGTCGTCACGAGAGGGGGGTCCCGGCGCCGTCCTGCCCAGGAGACCCCGCAGCCCGCCAGAGCCCACCCCGCCTGGCGCATGCGCGGTACCTGCGGCCCATCCGAGCCTTGACCCGTCGACCAGAAGGGAGCCCCGGAGCCTTCCATGTCGTCCTGGGGGACACACGAGGGACACTTGGCCTGCGTCCCCTCCCCGAGGAAGGGCCCTCCCCGGCGCGGAGACCAAGGCTGGGAGGCCTGGGAAGCCACCGTCCCGGATGGGGAGCGTCTGCTTGGGTGACCCTTGCTGCCTCTCGGGCATTTGATCTCGGTCTGGGATGGGCCGGGGCGCAGCCGGGGGTCACGGGGTAGCCGGGCACCAACACCGGGTCTAGCGCCCTGGGAGACCACGCCGCGCCCGCCCGGCCTGCTGGGTCGACGCGGCCACTCGGGGACTGGACGAGGGGGCCCGCCCGGGACACGCCGCTCTGCGGGCGAGACTCCCAGGGGATTGGGGGCCAGGGCAGCAGAACAGAGCTTTCTGGGGTCAAGGGCGGCCGTACTCACAAACCCAGCCGCGAATCCTGGTCCGGGGGGCCCAGGGGGCCCGGGGGGCCCTGGCGGTCCGGCTGGCCCGGGCGCTCCCGCCAAGCCGTTCTCTCCGGGTGCGCCCATGGGACCAGGGTCTCCCGTGCTTCCCTGCGCGGGCAAGGAGAGAGCATGGGGCGTCTGCTCAGCCGTGGCCCCCAGACCCCACCGCGGCCCCCAGGGTGAATGAGGAGCCCGCGGGACGGGTGGGCAGAGCCGGGCACGGCGGCGCCCAGGGGAGCCCGCTGACCCCACCGCGGGGCCGCCCTCCTGGGAGGCCCCCGCCTGCGGACCAGCCTGGGAGCGCGCCCGGCGTCCCCTCCGTACCTTGGGTCCTGGGGCACCCGCTTCACCCTGCGTGGGAAGAGCAGGACGCAGAGTCAGGCCACAGCGCAGCGAGTTCCGGAACAGCCTCGGCCTTTCGCCTGCGGCATCTGGGCCCCGGCCCCGCGCTGCGGCGTCCGTGTGCGCTCAGTCGCGGGCAGTCATTCCTGCCCATCCCCCTGGGGGGGGCGCGCCGTGGCCTTGACCCGGGGCGGAGCGAGAGCGCCTCCAAACGAGGGTCCTTCAGCTCGGCAGTCGTCAAACACGGCGACAACTGAGCGCAGGGCTTCCCCGGGAACCAGGGTCTGCTCAGCCGCGGGGCGAGGCCACATGGGCCACGTTCACACGGAGGAGTCACGTGGAAGCTCACGCCCCAGACGGCCCGACGCCAGCGCCTCCCCCAGAAATGCCACCTGGTCTTCACGGCCACCCGCACCTTGTCAGGGGCCCCTGTGGCCTCCTGAAAGCCGCCCCTCGCTCGGCGTGACCAAGACGGAAACGTGAGACAAGAGCTTCAGGTCAAGAGGAACGTTAATGTTCTTACAGACTGTTAGGTAAGCCCTCATCACAGAGTCCTGGATTTCCGTCTGTGTCCCCGGCCGAGGTCAGGCTGCCCAGGGAGCCCATGGCCCGGAGGTGGGGGCTGCACACAGCCCACCCACACACTCCCCCCACGGAGCGCCCCACACGCGGCCTGTCCAGCCCTGGCCACGCAGCGTGGCGCGGGGCCCGCCCATGCTGGCCTGCTGGGGAGGGACTTACGAGGCCGCCTTTCTGCCCGGTCCTTCCTGGCGGCCCCTCTCGGCCTGGAGCACCCGGGGGCCCCTGGGGAGAGACAAGCAGAGGGTCGGGTGGAATTCTGCGCCTAAGAAGATTCCGGGTTAGCAGGCGGTTATCTGGGCTTCCACAGACGTCCCGAGAAACGAGGTCACAGAATGTTCCCCGGACATGTGGCCAGAGGACCCCACCGTGGTGCTGGGGCGACAGTACCACCAGCAACCGGGAGGTTAGGGGGCCAACAGCCCCCCGTGAGGTTGGGGGTGAGAACAAGCCACGATCCGTTCTTTAGCCTAAAACCCCTCCTGGGACCGACCCTGGCCACAGCCTGGCCACGGGGTGCCGGGTGGCTACAGGAGGCTGTCACAGCAGCCAGCGGCCGGGCTGGGGACTAAGCCACAGTGTCCCCAAAATGGGGCAGTCCACTCTGGGAACAGCTGCTCTCCAGGGGTGCTACTGAGTGGACACCAGGCCACCAGGGCTGCTGCTACGTCCCCAGTCACCACGGCGACCCTGCAGGCGCCCGCTGGGCCACCATGTCCCAGAGCTGCAGGGGGGCTAGCCGGCCCTGAGGCCCTGTGAGCAGGCGTCGGCCGGACACGTTCCGCCAGCACGGCCACCATGGGGCCCATGACGGCTGGAGAGGGTGTCACTGTTGCCTGGGTGGCCCACTGGGTCAGCACCCCCAAAACCACAGGATGACCACTCGGGTGCCTCCACACTCCCAAGGGCGGCCCAGAGATAAGCCCCCGACTTGGGGACGCGGCGTAAGGTGGTGAGGGCCCGCGGGTCCCCGTGGGGGTCGCAGGACTTACCGGGGGGCCGGGGAATCCGGGGGGCCCTTCCCGCCCCGGCACACCAGGAAGGCCTGGGGGGCCTGGGACGTCGGAGCTGTTCACCCCGAAGCGGCCTGGCTCGCCGGGCAGGCCTGGGACGCCAGGGGGCCCGGGGGGGCCAGGGAAGCCTCTCGGGCCCTGGGCAGGGGCACACACGGAGTCAGGCACAGGCAGCACCCCGGAGCGGTGCCCCCACCCTGCCCGGCCCCATCTCCACCACCGTCCCCTCCCACAGGTACACCCACAGGTGCGCAGACCACTCACCCGGAGGGTCTCCAGGTCGCCGCCGAAACCGGACCCCTCCATGTCGATGAAGGTCTGAGTGGAGGGCGGAGAGACCCGTCACCAGGGCCGCCCTGCCCTGCACCCCAGCCCCGCACCCCTGCCGCTGCAGTGGGACGCAGGGGGAAGGCAGCAGCCCCGCGGCCCAGGCAGGGCTGGTCCTCCTGGGCCAGGACCCCAGGACTCACCAGCCTGTCGTGTCTGAAGGCAGGTCCTGGCGGCCCCGGCGGCCCCTGGGGTCCTGGGGGTCCTCTTGCCCCAACCCCGGGATCCCCCTGGGAAGGCAAGACATGGTCACGCCAGGCCTCTCGGCCCCGTCGGGACGGCCCCGCCCAGCCGCAGACTCACCTTCTCGCCCTTGGGGCCCACGTCTCCCGGCGTCCCCGGGAAGCCCTGTGGCCCAGTGTCGCCCTGGAAGACAAGGCGAGCGGCCGGGTCAGGGGGACGCGCCTGTCCTGCCACCTCTGACCTGCCAGCAGCCCGCGGCGCTGCGCGCTGATCACTCCTCCTGAGAGCGCGGGCACGCAGGCACCCGGCCCCTCAGGACCGCCGAGACCCGGGGAGCCGCAGGGCGACGGGACCATCACCGCGGAGCCCCAGCTCAGCCGTGCAGGGAGAACCGCGTGGACGTCCCCAGCTGTGACGTGAGGACCCCGCCACTGTCCTTAGCAAACAGTGCATGCTTAGTCCGTTCCTTCCCTGTGTGTGTGGAGTGCAGCGTGCACGTGTGTAATGTGTCCGTGGCATGTATGTGACTGTGTGTTGAACTGTGTGCACGTGTGGTGTGTGTACTGAGAACGTGCAATATACATGTACATGTGTGTCTGTGTGATGTCTGTAAAGTGTATACTTTGTGCATGTGTCTGTATAACATGCACACATGTATGCTGTGTGTGCTGTACATGCACATGTGTGTAAGTATGGTGTTTGCACAATGTGTAGTATTGCACATGTGCCTGTGTATTGTGCGCACATGTGTGGCATGTGCTGAGTGTGTGTGGTGTACATGCACATGTGTGTCTGTGTGGTGTTTGCAGTGTGTAGTATGTGCATATGTGCCTGTGTATTAGGCACATATGTGTGGCATGTGCTGACTGTGTGTGGTGTACATGCACACATGTGTCTGTGTGGCATGTGCACGTGTGGTGTGTGTTGAGAGTGTGTGGCATGCAGTGGGCACTGTGGACAGGGTGCCTGCCCACGTGTGACCTGGGTAGGCAGGTGAGGGCCCCGGGGCCCGAGCGATGTCAGTGTCGTGCTCGCCCGCATGGGACGGTGAGTTTGTTTTCCAGGTGGAAAATCTCAGCACAGAGTACCAGGGCAAGGGTGCCACCTGGGCCGTTTGGATCCTATGACACACACGTGTGCACATGCATGCACACGCTGTCCACACGGGCGAGCCCTGCCCTGGTCAGCTCGCCACCGTCCTCGCCACGGTCTTGCTGTGCGCCGTCACTCGCCACCGTCCTCGCCACGGTCTTGCTGTGCGCCGTCACTCGTGGTGGTTCAGGTCACCGCGAACGCCCTTCTGGATCCTCTGGGCGGCTTCTAACCTGACCCCACTGCGCCAGGTCAACAGCGTGACCCCCGCTCTGCCGCCACACGTGACCCGTTTCGGGGTCCGTGTTCCTGACCCTCATGTGCAGTCAGTGGGGCTGTATGGAGTTTCCTGGAAGTCGCGGCTGTGACTTCTAAACTCCTGAGCTAGTGTTCTAGACGGCCCCTCCCGCGTCCGCCGCGACAGTCGCCGCTCTGCCCTGGCCCGGCCGGCCCCTCTGCGCTCGCCGGACGCCGCCTCTCTGCGCACCCCACCTGGGGCTCCGAGGCCTTTCCCGCCCTCTCCTCCTTCCCTGCGGCAGCGTGAGCGCCCCGCGCGCCCCCGCGGTCACACTGCCCTGCCGTTCCTCAACTAAAGTGACACGGCTGTTCCAAAGCGGTTTCGGTTCGTCAGTTTAAAGGCGAAAGGCGCCGCGGTCTCACGGGAACGCCGCGGCAGCGCCAGCTCGCAGGGAAGAGACACTTACGGGTTTGCCGTCTTGGCCGGAGTCGCCCTGGAACGTGCGAGAGAAACATCAGTGCAGGCATTGCGCACGGGGACGCGATGCACGGGGACGCCGCGCACGCAGCACCCTGACGCGGTGGGGACGCGGCGCACGCAACGCCCTGACGTGGTGGGGACGCGATGCACGGGGACGCGGCGCACGCAGCACCCTGACGCGGTGGGGACGCGATGCACAGGGATGCAGCACACGCAGCGCACTGACGTGGTGGGGACGCGGCGCACGCAACGCCCTGACGCGGTGGGGACGCGATGCACGGGGATGCGGCGCACGCAACGCCCTGACACGGTGGGGACGCGATGCACGGGGATGCGGCGCACGCAGCACCCTGACGCGGTGGGGACGCGATGCACGGGGATGCGGCGCACGCAGCGCACTGACGCGGTGGGGACGCGATGCACGGGGATGCGGCGCACGCAGCGCACTGACGCGGTGGGGACTCCTCTCTCCTGCAGGGACGCGTGTGACGCCGCCTCCCAGAGCCAACCACAAGCGGTGGCCGGGCCAGGGTCTCCAGGGTCCGGGGCCACGGGGGCACTGCTGCTCTGACCTCTGACCCCGGCCCACCCCACGCCAGCCGCAACCATCCCCTCCTGCCCACGCCCCCCAGGGCCCCGACCGCGAGGACTCACCGGCTGGCCATCCCTTCCTGGGGCGCCGTCCTTCCCTGGCAGCCCCTGGGGGCCCCGCGGCCCCGTGACAGGCTGCGTGTGCGGGCCCTGTGCCCCGGGGCCCACGGGACCCAGCGGACTCCCATGGCTGGACGGGCACGGGGGGCCCGGGGGACCCATCACGCACGGGGGCCCTGGGGGGCCGATGGAGCCAGGCAGGCCCGGAGCTCCCGGCTCCCCCTTCTGTCCTTTCTGGCCGCCCTGGGAGGAAGAGAACACAGTGCAGGCTGGGCGGGGCCGCACCCACTCCCCGCGTGCCCGGCCTGCGCTCTGTACCCCATGCACACACGGGATGGTCAAACGGAGCAGATACACGGGACAGACATGCAGGATAGACACGCAGGCAGACATGCAGGATAAACACGCAGGCAGACATATAGGATGGACACACAGGGCAGACACAGGATGGACACTCAGGGCAGATACATGGGGTGGACATGCAGGATAGACACACAGGCAGACATACAGGATGGACACACAGGGCAGACCCATGGGATTGGACACGCAGGGCAGACATGCAGGGTGGACACGCAGGGCAGACACATGGGATGGACACACAGGATAGACACTCAGGATAGATACACGGGATGGACATGCAGGCAGACATACAGGATGGACACACAGGGCAGACATGCAGGGTGGACACACAGGGCAGATACATGGGATGGACACGCAGGATAGACACTCAGGACAGATACACGGGATGGACATGCAGACACACAGGATGGACACACAGGGCACACATGCAGGGTGCACACGCAGGGCAGAAACATGGGATGGACACGCAGGATAGACATTCAGGACAGATACACGGGATGGACATGCAGACACACAGGATGGACACACAGGGCACACATGCAGGGTGGACACGCAGTGCAGACACATGGGATGGACATGCAGGGCAGACTTGTAGGCTGGACTCGCAGGGCAGACACATGGGATGGACATGCAGAGAAGACACAAAGGATAGACATGCAGGGTGGACATGCAGTGCAGACACATGGGATGGACATGCAGGCTGGACACACAGGACAGACTTGCCAGGCAGACACACAGGATGGACATGCAGGGTAGACTTGCAGGGAAGACACAAAGGATGGACATGCAGGGTGGACACGCAGTGCAGACACATGGGATGGACTCGCAGGGCAGACTTGTAGGCTGGACTCGCAGGGCAGACACACAGGATGGACACGCAGGGCGGACATGCAGAGGTGCTGTGTGCCGGGCGCAAAGGCAGAGGTGTGGCCCGAGGGGCTGCGTCAGGAGTCACCAGGGAGGGGACGAGAAGCCGCCAGGCACCAGGCCGTGGGGTGGGGCCTCACCTCCTTCTGGGAGCCCCCAGGGCCCCGGACTCTCTCGTCCACGGTGGAAACCAGGCCTGAGCCAGGCAGGGTGTGCGCTGGGGAGAGAGGGAGGCAGTGGCTCGGTCAGGCCCCGAGTGGTGCCCGGCGCTGCCCCTGCCCCGGGTCCAGAGGGACTTCGAGACCCAGGCCTGCCGCCGCAGCCCCAGAGCTCAGGCTCCCTCCAGGCGTCCCGGGGCCGGGAGACGGTGGCAGTGGCCGCCTGGTGCCCACAACAGGGGACAGAATTTGAAATCAGGAGTGAACCCGCCGGCCAGGCGCGAGCGAGCCACGTGAGGGCTGCGCGGAGCTGCAGGGCCCCTCTCCTCCCCAGCGCTGTGGGGCGCCGCCCGCTCGCCGGCCCGCCCTTGGGCTCGCTCGGCCCAGGCTGCAAGCCCTGCCCCGGCCGGCCGGGGCAGCCTCCTGCCCGACCGCACCCGGCCGCAGGCCCCCCAGTCCCACGGAGAGCGGCCGGCCACGCGCCCAGGGCGCAGTGGGGAGCCCGGGGCCCGTGTCCCATGTTACTTGGGGCGAGTCTGAAATTCCTGCCTCAGGGACATTCAAGGCCGCAGAGGCAGCGCTGGAAGAACCCAAGACGTCCCCGTAAAGGAGAGGACGGCAGCCCGGCCCCGGGACGGCGTAGCGCCCACCACGCCTGGCACCGCCAGCAGCCCCCAGACCCCCGCGGGCAGGGCCTCTCTCCTCCTCCTCTGTGGAGACTGGCAGCTGGTCCGGGGCTCGCAGGGAAACTCGAGGACTGGGCACCAGGGCGTGGCCAGCGTCCCACTCTAACGTGGCTACAGACGCCAGGACGGACACTGTCACCGAGACGGACACACGGACCCAGGACAGTGCGAGCTCAGAAGCCGACTCCCACGGGGGACAGGTGGATGTCGACGAGGCTCGAAGGCGCCTCAGCCCGACAAGGACGGCCCCCGGCGGGCGACCCAGACCCACGTCACCGCCTACGGCACTAATGCAGGGCAGCCGCGCCTGCCACGAACCCCAGCCGCGCAGTTCCCGCACAGGAGAGCAACCCCGCGACCCTGGGTCACACACGCAGAAACCACACAGTGCACACAGCCGCCACGCACGCCGCACTCCACACTACCACACATCACACACAACATGCGTGCTCCACACGCACACACACCACACAAACATACACCACACACACCACATGCACACGTGCCACACAAACACCACATACCACACAAACACCACATACCACACAAACACACACCGTATACCACACTACCCCATATCACACACAACATACATGCTCCACATGCACACACACCACACATGCACCACACATACCACACACCGCATGCACACATGCCACACAAACACCACATACCACACACCGCATACCACACTACCACATATCACACACAACATACATGCTCCACACGCACACACATCACACAAATATACACCACACATACCACATATCACACACACAACAAAAACACACCACATGCACACATACCACACACACACCACATACCAAAGACACACAGCACATGCACCACATGCACACACCACAACACTATATATCACATACACAACATACACACTACATACCACACACACAGCATATACGTGACACATGCACACACATACCATATACACCACCCCTCATACATGTACAAATACATCACTCACACACAACATATAAACCTCATACACTCACACACACACACCACGCACCTCATGTTACACACACATCATACCCCACACATGCACACAACACACAAACCCACATACGTACCACGCACGCCCCCCGCACTCGTACACACATGCACACGCACCGCACACACCCAGAAGAGGTTTACCTCCTAATGAAGCCGCTGTGGTGTCTTCCATTTCTTCTGTTCTGGAAACTTCCGTGCTGCTGCCTCCAGCCAAGGGCGGGGAGGTGACCGGGGGCGGCTGGGGGAGGCCGGGCTTTGCGCCCTGGCGAGAGGAGGGGAGGCTGTCACGGGCAAGCGCAGGCGCCCCGAGGGCGCACGGCTGCCCGGCTCCCGGGCCGAGCTGTGTTCAGCTCATAAAATAAGACGTTTATAGACTTTCAGAAGGACGAGGGGCCCGCGGCGTGGACGGGAAGAAGCTGCAGGCTCTCTGCGGAGCTGCAGGCCGGGCTCCTCCGCGCGGCCGTGGAGTGGCGGCTGCGGCCAGCCCTGCCTGTGGCCCCGCTCGTCCCGGCTCCCAGCCGGGGCCGCGTCCACCCAGCGAGCCCCGTGCCCTGGGCGAGGCCCCGCGGGCGCCCAGCCTGGGAAGAGCCGTGTGCCCTCTCGGCCGGGTCCCCCGCGCCTCCCGTGCGCGTCTCAGGGGCAGGAGACGAGAAAAGCCGCAAATACGGCCTCCACGCCCCGTACTCGCGCTGCGTCCTGCGTGGCCTTTCCGTGTGGGGCCTGCAAACCGCACGTCCCCTACACGCGGGGCCGGGCAGGTGGGGTCGCGGCCACTCCAGAGGACGTCCTCTGGCCGCAGAGCTGCGGGGACACGGCCGGCCCTGGGCGCGCAGCCGCCTGCTGCTCCCAGCATCCCCGTTTCCTGGGAACGTGCCTCCTGGACGCGGCGGGAGCCCTTGGGAGTCACACATGCCTGTGCACGCGTGCACACCCCACCACGCGGGACCTGTCCTGGGACCCAGGGGGGTGGGCTTGGCCCCACAGCTACTCACCGTGTCCTCCCCGAGCAGCTCCCGGGTCTCCGCAAGGCCACTGCCGAAGTCCCCGGACGCCTGCGGGTGGAGGGAGTGAGGAGGAGGATGGTGAGCGAAGCCCTGGCCCCGCGCAGACCCCGCCGGGCCGCGGCCGAGGAGGCGCCCGCAGGGCCCACGGCCTCTGAGCAGCAGCATGCGCCGCGGGGGGCCCCGCCCAACGACCGTGCCCGGCCACCGCGCCTGGACGGACGTCCTGCGTCCTCACTGCACCAGCCCCGGGCTTGTCTCTGACTCGGTGTTTTCAGCTCAACCAAGCCCTGCAGGAAGCGTCGTCTGGGCTTCCACTAATGACCTTAGGGCTCAGGCGGGTGTGTGTGTGTGTGTGTGTACATGTGCGTGCACAGGCGTGTGTGCTGTACGCGCCCGACCCCCGCATCCGGGCAGCACGCGCCCGACCCCCGCGTCCGGGCAGCCCACGGCCGTGCTCCCTGGAGGCAGAGCAGGGTGCGGGTACGGGCACCGTCACTGCGTGGAACACCTGCCGCCTCCTAGTCTCTCAGGTAAAGTACGAGATTCATCGGGCAAAACCCCGCAGAGCACGCCCTCCCGCCCTGCCGTGGGCTGCAGTGGGCCGTCCTCACGCCCCTCAGGCTCCTGGGAGCTGCTGGCTTCCGCCCTAGGGACCACGTGATTGTGCACGTGGACACCACACACATACACACTAGACACGCACCACACACACCATGCACAGATCGTGCATACCACAGACACAGAGACACATACCACACACATCATGCACACACATATATACTCACAGACATGCCACACACATGCACGCACATAGCACATACCTACACAGACATGCACCACCCACACATACACTCACAGACATGCACCACATACACATGCATACACTGTATACACATCATACATCACACATAGTGACACGTACCACACACATATACATCATGGACATGTATACACTCACAGACACGCCACACACATGCACATACACTGTACATACGTATGTTACACACATACAGAGACACCACACACATACACATCCCACACATACATGTCACACAGAGAGACACACCACAGACACATCACGTGGAGACAACATGCACACATGTATGTTGCTGTCATGATCCCACTGAGCACCTGGCGGGCCACTGCAGGCTGGTTTCTAACATGTGTTTTACATTCTGCATTTGTTTATAAGCAGAAAGTTCTGACATTACAAACATACGTGGAAACGCCATGCCAGGTTCCTACTACCCACGGGGCGTGTTAGGGGCTTTTCCCGTGTGCGTGTGGGGAGGCCCTGCGCGCGGCGTCACTCACCCCGTCCGCGTCATCGTCCTCCTCGTCCAGGCAGTGCCGGGCGCTCACCTGGGGGTCCCCGCGCACCCTCAGCTCCGCGATCCTCCCCTGCAGGCAGAGGACGGGGTCACCTGGGGTCACCTGGGGTCACCTGGGGTCCCGGGGCTGGCGTGGGCACGGGGAGAGCGGTGGGGCCGGCGCGGAGCCGCCTGAGCTCCAGAGTCTGGCGGCGCCGGGGGCCAGGGCGTCTTGGAGCGGGAAGGTTCTGGGCCCCTCGTCTCCGGGCCGAGCCCGTGCCCCGTGGGCAGAGCCGCGGGCGCAGCCAGAGCGTCCCGGCCGCAGCGGCCGCCCGCGGGGATGGCTGCTCAGCGCAGCTCCCACACCCGGGCCCGGCCGGCCTGAGCCCGGCTCCCGCGAGGCTGCCCAGGCACGCGCCCGGCCCCGCCGGCTCGCAAGGACGCGGGCGGCTAACGAGGTCCCGGGACACAGGCTGGGCCTCGGCCGCGCTGCTTGTGGTGGCACCTGCCAGGCGCCCAGCTGTCCCCGCCCCAGCCAGCCAGGCCACACAGGGCTTTGCTGTCGTGGGAGTTCACCTTCTGAGAGCGGACAGAGGCGGACGCCGCGGGGAAGGAGGGGCCCCTGCACAGCCGCGGCACAGGGAGGCGGGAGGGCAGCGCGAGTGCAGAGGCCCCGGGGAGAGGGCGGGTCGGCGCCTGGCGGGGCCCTGCGGGGGAGGGGCTGCCGTGCTGGGGGGCCACCAGGGTGGCCACCGCGGCCTCCCAGGGTCTAAGCCCTGTACCCAACACCAATGGTGAGGCCTGTGTGCACATGTGTCTGCGTGCATGTGTGCAGTCATGCACATGCATGTTTGAGCACGTGTGCACACCTGTGCTCTCTTATACCTATGACGTGTTCCTGGCAGGTGAGTGGGAAGCAGGGGGAGCTGGCACAGGCAGGGAGAGGGCGGCAGGGCCTTGCCGTCCCACACACACGGTGACTGCCGCTTCCCCAGTGGTCTTCGTCCGGCCAACGCCCCAGCGTGTGGCGTGTGTTCCCTTTGCAAATGTGCAGGGCTGATGCCACGACCGCGGGGCCGGAGCACGCACTGGGCATCATCCACGCTGCCGCCCCTCATAGGCCGGCGCCGGGGGAGGCTGGACGCACGCCCCCATCACTGGGGTGACCGTGGACGGTGGGAGGAACCGTCCACAGCTGACCCAGGGGACCGAAGGTGGGGACGGAGCCACGGCCTGAGCACCGTGGGGGTGTCCTCTCTCCACGGCTCTGCCCGGGGTCTGCACCCCTCCCTCGCCCACCCTGGGTCCCCTCCACACCACGCGGTTCCCAGTCTGCCCCGCTTCCCAGTCTGCTGCAGGACGGCCACAAGTTCCAGAAGGTTCTGGGGGTGCAGACAGGCAGGCCTCCCTGGCCTGGTGATGCCCCCCAGAGTGGCCGGACGCAGTGTGTGCTGCCCCGAGACCTGCCGGGGAGCCCCAAGGCACCAACCCCGTTTCAGCCAGACCAGGGCAGAGACCACGTCCTGGGCGCAGCCACGGTCCTTCCCAGCCCACGTGTGCCGTGGCCTGTGTCCTGCCCCCGCAAAGCGAAGGGCACGGAGAGGCCCGTCCCGTCCCCGCAGCCTCTGCCTCTGCAGCGCTTGGCCACCGGGAACCCACACGGAGGGCGGGTCTGACCCAAAACCCACGGAGCAAACCCCTGGAGCGTCTGGCCCGTGGGGCTGCCGCGGTCACGGCTCACGGCACACGGCACTTGCTCCCGTCTCTCCACCAGGGCTAGGCTTCGCCGGGGTGTCAAACATCACGGCGTCTCCTTGGGGCCAGATTCAACCACAGACACCTGCTAAACGTCCCAGTGGGGTTTTTTTTTAAAGGACAAGCTGCAAGGCGAATAGCAAACTGGGAAATAAAATCCGCGGCCACGAAACCACGGCTCCACCTCTCTCCTGCGCGGAGTTTGCACAAACCAGGGAGAAGTCCTTGAACCCATCAAAACCAGGCGAAGCACAGGATGGGTCGGCCAGACAGACAGAAACAGGAATAGGAACAGTGACAAAATAAGTCTGTCCTCGCTAACTGTCCCCGAAACGCAAACAAAGCCGGCGCGGAACGGAGCGGCCGCCTGGCCGCAGGGCCGTGACCTCGTCCTCCTCTCCCCGTGGGGCACAGCCGAGCCCCAACCCTCGGCCCATCACGGAGTCGCTCTGTGGTCCACCGAGAGAACGCCCGGCAGTCACGCCGCAAACGCCCTCCCCCACGGGGCGGCTCTCCGACCTCTTTCCCGCCAAGCTTTTAACCAAGACGAAAGCACAAAGCGCCCGGTTTGGTGCCAAAGGCCCGCCGGCTCGCGAGCCCTGAGGGTTAAAAGTTCCTGCCAAAGGTGAAAGGTCAGCTTTCAGAACCCCCGAGACAACTTCAAACAAGCGGCCCTTGTCTGGGGAATAATTAACTCTCTGTCCCTGTGTCACCCACGCTGGCACACACAGGGCCGGGGGCAGGGGCGTCCCCACCACAGAGCGGCTTGAAGGTCAGAATTCGGGGCTCGTGAGTCAGTGCGGCCGCTCCGGGGGGCTGGGAGTCCAGCTCAAGGTTCCGGGAAGTGGGGGGCTCTGGGCCCGGCAGAGAGACCCCAGCTGGGCTCAGAGCCCCCTCCCCCACCCTGGACCCTCCCCCCCATGAGGACATGGCCGGGTCACGACGCACCGCTGGAGGCATCCCGCCCGTGTGCACACAGGCCTCAGGCCGCCGTCCGTCTGTTCAGGACAATGACCAGCCCAGCGCCACCGGTCTGGGCCCTGGTGACCCCCTCGCCCCCCGCAGGGCCCTGCCTGACTCACCCCCTGTCGCTGGCTCCAAACTGTCAGTAATTTCATTCTGCATGTCGCTGGGAGGGCCCCGGAGTGTGGGGGTCAGGTACGAGGTGGTCCCAAGGGGGCCTTGGAGAAGCCTTCCCAAGCCCAAGGTGACCCTCCCAGGGGGCCGGAGAGCTGGGGACCGACGCACCCAGCCAGGAAGACCCAGGACCCGCAGGCCGGGCTGACCACAGCGGGGTGGTGGGCAGGACCCGCAGGCCGGCTGACCACAGCGGGGCTGACCACAGCGGGGCTGACCACAGTGGGGCTGACCACAGTGGGGCTGACCACAGCGGGTGGTGGGCAGGACCCGCAGGCTGGCTGACCACAGCGGGGCTGACCACAGCGGGCCTGACCACAGCGGGGCTGACCACAGCGGGCTGACCACAGCGGGTGGTGGGCAGGACCCACAGGCTGGCTGACCACAGCGGGCTGACCACAGCGGGCTGACCACAGCGGGCCTGACCACAGCGGGGCTGACCACAGCGGGTGGTGGGCAGGACCCACAGGCTGGCTGACCACAGCGGGCTGACCACAGTGGGGCTGACCACAGCGGGCTGATCACAGAGGGGCTGACCACAGCGGGCTGACCACAGCGGGGCTGACCACAGCGGGTGGTGGGCAGGACCCGCAGGCCGGGCTGACCACAGCGGGGCTGACCACAGCAGGCTGACCACAGTGGGCTGACCACAGCGGGGCGGTGGGCAGGACCCGCAGGCGGCACTTGCTGCCCCTTGTCACGGGGCCACCCCCCACCCCGGGCTGCCCAGCAGGGGGTTACCTGGAACTTGTCGGGGTCCGCCTCTCCGGCCTGGGCCACAAAGAGGCCGGCGCCGGGCTCCAGCTCCAGGCCCCGCGAGGACCGCGTGAGCGGCATCCTCTGGATCTCCTCACAGTCCACGTAGAGTGCCACAGAGCCGCCATCCACGCTGAGCGCGAGGCGGGTCCACCGGCCGGCCAGGGCGGGCAGGCGGAAGCTGGCGGCCGTGTGGGTCTGGCCGGCGCCCGGCTCCGTGTAGAGCAGCACGACGTCCTGGTGCCCGTCCCGCACCGCCGAGAGCTTCACGCCCACCAGGACCACGGCCCGTGCCGTGTCCGTGATGGCGAACAGCACCCCGGCGGCCTCCGTGGCCGGCCGCACGTGGAACAGCAGCGAGAAGTCCCGGAAGAAGGGGCTGGGGACGTGGTAGCGGGCCAGCTGGCCGCTGTTGGCGCCCGGCCCGAAGGAGTAGGCCGGCCCGACCTCGGGGTCGTCGATCTGGGCGACGTGCGGGGGCGGGGGCTCCCCGAGCAGCTGCAGCAGCCCCACCTCCTCGCCGGCGCTCTCTGCGGGGGAGAAGGACAGCCGTGAGCGGTGAGGACAGGCGGAGCCCTGGGGCAGCCTGGGAGGCCAGCCAGGCAGGGCACAAAGGGGAAACTGCGTCAGAGGGCTTGTCACGTGCGGGGCGGCCTGCCAGGCCCCTCTGGGCATCCCTCCCCTCAGCCACCTGCTCCCAGCCCACACGACGGACGGCCGCACAGAGAACCGTCTGCAGGGTCACGGCGGCCACGGGCCACTCTCTGCCCCTCAGCGGACTCACGGCCAAAGCGGGGACACCCCAGAGACGGGCTCAGCCCTTATAGGGGACCCAGCGTCCCCGTCACAGCAAGGAGCCCGCCATGGGCCTGGGGCACGCACACCCTCTCCCGCCCTGGCCACGCCTGTACCTCGGACGTCACTGCACCCCAGAAAGGAGAAGGGGAGATGGCACTATGACACTGCGTGGCTCTGCCCGGGGGGACCCGCCCAGGGACGGCGGCGAGGGCAGGTGCCTCAGCTCAGTGCCGTCTTCCTCGGCAGCGGCCGGCCGCCCACCATGGCGCCCAGGCTGACCCCTTAGGAATCTCCCCCCAGGTCCCGAGCGGGGTGGCCAGGGGCGTGGATGTGGCCCGTGTCCCAGGTGTGGAGATGCAGCCACCGGCTGCCGTCACAGCCCCTCACCCCACTGGGGCGGCCGCCGGCCTCACTCTCCCCTGGAACACCCCCAGAGCCACGGTGACCTGCCACACGCCTTCACGCACTCGCTCACGCTCCACTCATCCCGTCCACGCTGAGCCCACCCTGCCCTCAAGGGTCATGGGGTCGCAGGCCAAGCGCTCGCTCTCGGGTGACATCACACGACCGGGAGCCCCTCTGCTGCCTGAGCAAGGCCGGGACGCCCGAGATCTCACCCTCGCTTCCCGCCTTCCCAGGGGACTGGCGGCCACCACAGCAGGACACGGGCCCTGCTGTCCATGGCACCTCTGGGGACCAGGGCTGGGGTGCGGGGGCGTGCGCTGGTGACGTCCCCCACCCACTGGGCAAGCAGAGCCAGCACGTGGGGCCGCGGTCTGGGCCACGGGACCCCCTGCAGGCTGGATAGGGTCTGCTCCCAACGGTTTCCCTGGCAGTGACATGGGGACCCATGCACAGAGCAGACAACGGCTGCCATGGGACAACGGGGCCTGGCCCTGCGCCTGTCCCCAAGGGCCAAGGGCACCCGGCAGGCAGAGCCTGGGCTCTTGGAGGTCCACGGCCACGTCCCCTGTGACAGAGGCCCCGACACAGGACGGAGGCTGCTGAGACAACGGCCGCCTGGTGCCAGACATGTCACTTGGGGGGTGTCTGAGACGCAGACGCTCGCCAGCCAGGAGAGAGCCCGCCCTGCGCTCACCGCGAGAACCCTGCCCGCTGCCCTTCCTCCTGGCAGCCAGAACATTCCCCGGTTAACTGACATGCAGGGCGTGGTGGCTGCCGCCTTCCCGGGCTGGAGGCACTGGCCAGTGCGCTGCGGGTGGCCCCAGGGACCCCAGCGGTGTGCAGGCGGGTCCCCAACATCCCCGCACCCCTGTGACTGCCCACGATGCCATCGGTGAAGCCCCGCAGTCCTGGCCCCGAGCTCACCGGCTCTGTTCTCGGGGACAGGCACCAGGGCGAGGACGTCACGGCCCGCCGCACCCTGGGGCGCCGGCTGTCCCCGCTGCCCTGCGTGGGGCTGCTCTCCCCCAGACAGTGAGGAGACACGCCGGCCACGGATGGTTCCGGAACGGGAGGCCCCTCTCACTCCACGCAGGACGAACCGCACCTCCAGCGTCACCGACAGGTGCGAGGCCGCGGCCGCCGGTCGGGAGACTCCCAGGTGGCCTCACAGCCGCCAACGAGGACCCCACTGCGCTCAGAGCCCGTGAAGTCCCTGCCACGGCAAAGCACGACCTGCGCACACCTTCCCTCCCTCTCTGCCCCGACGGCCCCGTGGACGGTGCCGCCTGTGTGGGCCCCACCTGTAAGCGCCCAGGACTTGGCAGGAAAATGCCCGAGTCGCAGCAGCTGTCACCCGGGAAGACGTGTGACTCGCACAAGACAGGAGCTGCCGCTGCACCGGCCGAGGCGCCTGATCTCCCACTGGCAGGGGCTGGAGGTGCCGCCACCCAGGGCCGCAGCTGTGCTGGGACACCCGGGATGAGCCTCCCTCCTCCCAACCAGGCTTCCCCCAAGGGCAGCCCCACCTCCCGGGGGAGATGGACCCCACCAGCTACAGCCTCTGCCGCGCCATGCTGAGCACTGTGCACTAAGTACCCTCCAATGAGCACCCTGCAACGAGCACCCTGCACCCGCACCAAGCACCCTGTACAGAGCACCCCACACTGAGCACCTGGCACTGAGCATCCCACACCGAGTACCCTGCACCAAGTACCCCACACTCTGCACCCACACCGAGTACCCCGCACTAAACACCCAGCACCGAGTACCCTACACCAAGTACCCGGTACCCCAACAGCCCTGCAGAAACAGGCAGAGCCCCACAGACGCCCACCCAGCGCCCAGGTGCCCCAGCTCTCCCCAGACACCGCCCGACTGGCCTGACCGCCCGGGGACGTGGCCTGGAGTCCTGGCCACGCTGAGGGCCCCGCCGAGGGCTGCTGACCACTTAACCCCCCGCATGGGGCTCCCGCCCCTGCCCTGCGCCGGGTCCTGTGGTCATCAGGCAGCTTCCCGCCCAGCACGCCAGGGCCACGGGAGCCCCCGAGACTCGGCCCTGGACGCTCAACCGCCCGGCACAGCGACTCCCGTGGGAGCCTCCGGAGACAACGGCTCCTGAGCTGCGTTTCCCGCAGACCAGATGGAGCCGGCACAGCCCAACCCTACGCACCTCCTGGGCCGTCTGGAATCTGCACGCACGGCGGCCCCAGCGCTGGACCCGCCCGCGGTCACCCAGGGTGTGGCTGCAAAGGCCAGAACCGGGAGCCCCCACGCCTGGGGGGCCAGGATGAGGGCGCAGCTCACCACAGCCGCACTGGGACCCCGACCCGCACCCTCTGGCCGGGCGGTGCTGCCTGGCCCAGCGCCAGCAGGGGCCGCGGCGGCAAGCGCAGAGCCATGCCCTGTGGCTGGTTCTGTAGAACCTGTTGGGGTCCCGGTACCTCTTCGTCACAAGACTCCATTGGGACCCTCATTAGACCGAGACTCCTGTCAACTCAGAACAGACGGGAGAAGGACAAAAGCCACAGCAAGTCACAACCAGTTAAAACCACACGGCGAGAGGGGGCTGCAGTTCCTGTGTGTCGGCCTTTGAGAACAGGGAGCCCTGCAGAGCACACAGACCGGCCCAGACAGAGCACACGGATGTAAACAGAACCAGGGCAGCGACAGACACTGGCTGTGTGTGGTCAAAATCAGCTGCAGTGGGGCTGAAAGGCCACGGGAAACGCTGGGCAAGCGGTTATAAAAGGCAGGTCAGCACCGGCACCACCGGCAGCGAACACAGGATTCGAGCTGAAGCCACCAGCAGGGCAGGGGACCCGCGCCTCGACAACCAGCTGGGATCCGGCCGCCAAGTTCCACGGATGCCCCGACACACAGCAAAGACGGGAGAAGGTCCTCGCGCGTGACCACAGACCCCCAAGCCACCCTCTCAGCCACTCTCCCGCTCAGATGCACAATGACGGCCTCAGTGAGACGCACAGGAGACCTCCTGACCCACCAGTGTCTACGGACGGTCCCCTGTGGTCAATGTGTCATGCAGCAGCAACCAGAGTGGAACAGCCGGGGTGGGCGCCGAACCCAACCCCAGTATCAGGAAGAAGAGTGTCGTGAGAAAGAACATTTCGACAGCCGCCAAAGATGGTAGGGCTGGGCGGAAAGGTGACCCGACCCTGCCCTAGGCCAGTGAGGGCCCCTGCATGGGACGGACTAGACTCGGTGCCGCGGGTGAGGTCTCGTGGGCATTTCTGATGACCCGGGGCAGACAGCGCCCGGCACACCCAGGGACTTTGCAGGGGAGGCCAGGGGCTCCCTGAGCACAGGCCCGGCCCCGGCCCGAGTCAGGCCCGCACCGGGCGCTCGGCCGTGTCTGATGAAGAGAGACAAGAACGCACCACAACCCAACAACGCCCAGGACCAGTGAGGCCACTACAGCGGCGCCTTCGCAAGGAGCTGGGAACACCCAAAGGTGCGGCGGTGGGCGGAGGGGGAGAGACCACCAGAACCAGGAGCCACGAGCAGAGCAAGGGCCTCTCCGTGGCCTGACGGGAGACTCCTGACATGTGGTCAGGAAAAGGAGACATTCAGATGGAGCGTGGCCCTGTTTGTGCATAGTTAAGATTCACACACACACACGTGTGTAGCCATGCACACGCATGCACATAGACCACGCGGTACACAGAATAATGGCCCCAAAGATGTCCCCATTGCAATATCTGGAACCCACAAATGTTGCTTTATGTGGCAAGAGGACGCTGCCGGTGGAACTGAGGTTGTGGACCTTGCCACGGGAGACGGTCCGAATCCAACCTCTCCCGGCGGGGACGGGGGCAGAGCCAGAAGGAGGCCACGCGAGGGCGTGTCCTGGCACACTGGCTCTGAGGATGGGCGGAGGGGCTGTGGGCCCAGGGGTGCAGCAGCCTCTGGAAGCCGGACAGGCCACGAGAATGGATTCTTCTCCGGGCCCCAGAAGGAACCGGCCCTGGCAACACCCGGTTTCAGTGAAACTGATTTTGGACTTCCGACCTCCAGAACCGTAAGGAAATACATCTGTGTTGTTTTAAGTCACTGAACCTGTGGTGATTAGTTAGAGTGGCGGCAGGAAGCCTCTATACCCCTACATGCAGACCAGTGCAAATCCACGGGGCTGGGGGAGACAGGAAACGTGCCCCCCACCCCAACTACCTTCCAACGGCTGCAGTGAGAGGGCTTGGGAGTCATGTACAGTCCTCTCCTGTACGGCTTGAATCCTTCAATTTTTTTAGAGATGGGGTCTTGCTACGTTGCCCAGGCTGGTCTCAAACTCCTGGCCCAAGCGATCCTCCCA